GCAGAATATACTTTTTACCCCTAATCTTATCTTTGCACCAGTTCATGTTGCTGTGAGCAGCTCACACAAACTTTTCCCAAAAATGCAAAACATAAATTTGTCTGTATTGTATTGCACATTCACTTAGAAATACCGCAGCAAGGCCTGTCTTACCTTCCTCATCCACTGCCAGCACTGTGGCCCCACGATTCAGCAAGGCCTGAACCACGGTGGCCAAACCATTCCTGGCGGCAATGTGGAGGGGCCTGAAATATAAAGAAAATGAAGTTGAGAATGATTTTTAAATGTTTGTCCAGTTTATTCTGATTGAGTTACAAGTAAAGTGTGTAGTTTCTGTGCCACAAAGACAAATCAAGCAAATGTTTAAAGCTAGTCAGGATGCTCAAAAAAGAGAGCAATGTTATGAAATTGCTACAGAGCCATGAATAATTACTTCTTGTATTTGCAAACTAGGACAAAGAAACTCACATTTGAAGCATACTGTTGGTTGCATTTATGAGGATAGGGTTGTGGATCTCCTTCAAGATCAGCATGGCACACATTTCATGAGCCTTCAAACACACAGTTAGCCATATGCACAACATTTGAGAAATCTGATCAAGAGAAAATTAGTGTTAAGTTTAAATAGAGCACAGTTTGTTACCTTGCTGCAGGCCAGGTGCAGGGCAGTGTTCTTGTTCACATCCAGGAGGGACAGGTCAGCTTTGGCTCTGTGCAGCAGTAGGGCTGCATACGACAATAACAAAAAATCTGCAATTACTAAGCTCTCTATAAAGGCATGAGACTTACAATGTCTGAGGGTCTTGGATTACTTATATCACACATGGTACAACTCTTACCCACAGCACCGCTTTGGCCATTGTCGGCGGCCACCATCAGTGCAGAACGCCCTGAGTGGTCTACGGAGTTGATGTCAGCTCCATGCCGCAGAACCAGCTGCAGCCCAGCCACGTCCTCGGCAACTGCGGCCGCGTGAAGCGGGGTCCTGAGTACAAAACGTTAGAACATAGTCATTTAGATAGTTGATAACTCATGCACTGGTTTTCAATTTGTAACTTTTTAAAACTTAATATTCATATATAATTGTATTTTAATAACTACTTGCACCAACCTTCCTTTGGCATCCCTGATGTTTACCAGCGAATTACAAACACTGGATTCCAACAGCAGCTCTGCAGAACCACTATGGCCATTAATGCTGCAATGAGACGACAAGAACATGCAGCATGGCGATTAGGAAATATATACCATACATTATATATTCAATATAGTTTTATTTAAATACTCTTTGCATATCAAACACTTAATATATGGGTTTACTACGCAGAAAGGATTCAACGGCTAATTTCGGTGGCTGTAAAAAATTTATTCGAACAAGTATCCAAGTACACTACCATCCAAAAGTATGGGGTTGGTAAGATTTTTAAATGATTTTTGAAAAAAAGTTTCTTATGCTCACCAAGGATGCATTTATTTGATAAAAAAAAAACAGTAAAAACTGAAATATTGTGAAATATTATTGCAATTTAGTTTTCTATTTTACTATATTTTAAAATGCTAATTCTCATATGCTGATTTAGTGCTCAAGAAACATTTATTATTATCAATGTTGAAAACAGTTGTGCTGCATAATATTTTTGTAGAAACTGTGATACATTTTTTTCAGGATTCTTTTGATAAATAGGAAGTTCAATTGCATTTCAAAAAATAGAATTTTTTGTAAAAGTCCTTGTTGTCAATTTTAATGCATCCTTACCATATACAAGTATTACCTGTGTTTTTTTAATCTTACTGTCCCCACACTTTTTAATTGTTGTGACTGGGTTACACTGGGGTGGAACTGATTTAAAATTAGTGAGCCTTTTTTACACCATTAATACTATTATTGATTTAAATGTGAAGTAATCTGGGTACAAACTGCAAAGATGATGAATAAAAAATAAAAGTGGATAATTCCTAGAATTATTTATAACAGACATGTCCATGACTTTGACATTTAATTAATTTGCCTGACTTTTTCAGTTCAGTTTCTGTTTTCCCAGGAATTATTTCAAATAATAATAATAATAAAAAAAGAATTACATCACCTTTGAAACCGAAAAGAAAAAAAACAATACTCACAGAGCACAGTGCAGTGGGGTGAAGGGGTTTCCCTCCTGGATACTACATGGTTTAAGTTCAAGTAAAACATCCAAACAGTCTTCATGACCTGTTTCACAAATAGCGCAAGTCACCTATTTAACTTATGATAGTTTTAGCAATGCGAACGAGCCATTGAGGCTCAAAAGGTCTGAGCTCTTACCGTGATAGGCTGCCCAGTGTGCGGGTGTGTAGCCGTGGCGGTCTGTGATTGGGTCGTGGGGGTGGGAGTGGTCAGCAGCAGAAAGAAGATTGGAGAGAATGTCAGCATGGCCGCAAGAAGCGGCCAGATGGACTGCGGTTCGCCCCTGAAAATCTCTGCTGAGGACTGAGACACTGTGGGACAGCAGGGCGGTTATACAGTCCTCCCGACCCATCACCGCCTACAAAGACAGACCTGGTTAGAAACCTCCCATTATGAGGACTATAGCAAAAGCTTTACTAATGATTTGAGAATCTCACCCCTCTGTGTAAGGCTGTTCTTCCTCTCCTGTCTCTCATATCAGGGCAAGCTCCTCTCTCCAGCAGCAGATGCACACAGTCAGTGTGTCCCCCCAGCACTGCCATCATTAGTGGTGTTCTATCAAGAGAGAGAGAAACAGTGAGAATGATATCAACAACTGTGAGCTGCAAATGCAAATGAAAATGAATACAGTTATGATTATTTTCCAGCATTGTTTGGGAACATTTTAATTACAATTTTTATGAGGATCTCTTATCAAAAATGGAAGTGCTATGCATGGCTTGTTTTGTTTTTGTTTATTTGAAAGTGACTTTTTGTGTTTGAACTGTTATGCGAATTACATATTTTGACACTTAATTGTCATACCAATAACTGAGATTACCAAATTGTCTTTTTGTTTACATCTCTGAAATGTATATAGTGAAAAGTATTTCTGAAAAATGAAATAACACTGAACAGGTTGTGACATGAATAGCATTTACCTAAAATATTTATTAAATGCTAAAATATCTCTTTTTGTTTCAAGTTTTTTGGAACCCAGACAAACTGCGTATTACAGTCTTGTCACAGATCATAATTGTTATTACTATTAGGAATAATATTAGTATATTTGCATACAATAATAATGAATATTTCACTGCAGTATGGTCCAGAAACAGGCTCAAGCCTTTGTTGCACATGCAGACCTTGGAGTTAAATACTTATAATTTTATAACTATTATTTAGTTATAATTTTAATATGATAACTATGTTAACAAATCAATATAATTATAAATACAAATATAAAAATGTAAATACAATTATTATAAATATAAAAAAATT